GTTTTCCGTCATGAGACTGTGATATTCTTTCTTTTAACTGTTTGAAACCCAAAATGGCCACAGCTGGCCGGTCAGAGTGTTTCTATTTTTTGGATCAAAAATTTTTTTGTACACACTATATGTTAATAACATCAACACCTAGCAATAAATAAATCCGTCAGATGACTGTTCATGTTATAATGTCGGGTGTGGAGCATCCACAGCTATTCAGTCTGGAGGAGGCTGTAAAGCTTTGTGAAAGGAGGCTGAAACAGGTCGATGAGCCAATGAAGCTCACTTCTGATGGATGACAGCGACACCAACATTTTTAAGGATTTCAACTTCTCTGTTGGCCTGAGTGACTGAAGCTTTCTTTGAGGTGGAGCTAACATTGCTGGAGTCAAACATTAGCATAATGTTAGCTTATAACCAGCTGTTCTTGTTGTTGTTTAGCTGGCTCTTGGTAACTGTCGAAGATGGGAGGGTAGCAATTCTAATCTGCTGACAGTAACTGGGACAAAATTGAGAATGAAAAGGCGTGTTTATGCCTATTTTAGTGTGTTAGAGCTCTGATTTCAGTTTAGTGCATGAGGCTTGAGATGAGCAGGAAAAGGACGAGGTAGAAATGTGGAAGGGGAAAGGAGTGGTGGAGGTGCCAGATCAGGAATCAGATCAGGAATCTGGAAGATTCTAATAGGATACTATATAGGTAAAGACCCTACAATAATACACAGAAAACAGATATATGTATATATATAAAAAAAACCTCATTTTAAGTGCGTCATGGTTCCATATATGGCACTTATAGCAGAATTCAAACATAATGTGTAAAGCATAGGTTACCTTTTTGTGACACTGAAACTTCAGGTTAAACGTACCTCTCTAACTTATTAAAAGCAGTTTTTAAAAAAGAAGTCCAGATGTAGAAGCCTATGGGGGGGAAACCTCTCACTTGATTTATTTGAGGTTATGGTCTTAATGGCTAGTTTCAAGTCTTCACAAACGCAAAATCATGTTCATTCTGTAAGCTATGGTTCCAGTTAGAGCCAAGGAGGAGGATAAAACAGGCTTTTAGAGCATACGAGCGTGTGGTGTCCCTCGGTTTCTCAGCCAGATCAGTTTCTCGCTTGTTGTCTCTGGTTTCAAAATACCGAGGTGGCAATCGTTAAATGGCTCAGCACCAGGGAACTTCCCTAAACGATTGATGACGTCACAGTGGCTACATGCTGCTTTCCCATGCATTTTATGGTTGCATAAAATGTTTGGGGGAAAGTGGGCTTTAACACTAGGCCTGTTGAAATCGTGACTCAGACATTATTATTCAGTTTTGTCACGATTGTTAATTATTCCTCTGAATCCAGCATTTGTCAGGAAGCTTCAACTTCTGTAGCCCCACGCAGAGTTAGCCTGCTATCTCTCATTAGCCTCCTGCAGTGAGAATAGACAAAGACTTGAGAAACCCATTCAGCAATTTTGAATACATTGTATCCGAAGCACCAGTCAAATCATTTTTCCTGTGGGTGTCAGACACGGAGCTATTGACAACTGTGTCGATTTCAAGAACGTCCCAAGGTGGCAATTTTCCTTTGATTAGCTGCTTCGTTAGCAATCATTCCACTGAAGCCAGTTTTAAAAAGGGGTTCACAATATATCTGACACCACTGTTGCAGTGTATCATCAACTTTTAGGAGGATAAAGAAAATTAAGACTCTTGTCAGATTTCAAAGCTAATTATGTGCCGGGCTCGGCCATACTTATAAACCATGTCACATGGCTACAGCAGTTGTCTGCATCTTGAGAGAAAAGCGTTCTTACTCTGCTCTAGTAACTGCTTAGCTTGATGAATGTGCAGTCCATCTTCATCAAAGACAATTTCTTTTTTTAATAACAGCCAGACATGAATAAATCACCATTAGGCCTTTTTTTTTTCCCTCCGGAAGATAATAACCAGTTGCTGCTTCAGTTTGACTTGCCAGTGCATGATGGGCGATGAAAATGCTATTGGTTTGGTGGTCTGCATCCACACACACACACACTAGCTCACATCCAGACCAATGAGAAAGAAGGCTGCTTTTATTGGTCCAACTGTACTTTAGCACTGAAATGACCGGTGTTTTATTCAGAGTGTCTGCCAGCAGGAAAAGAGGGCTGGGAGGCAGCCAAGAAAAAAGAAAAAAAAAAGCATGGCATTGTAGGGCAGGAGGTAGAATGTGGATCTAATTGGGCATGTATATGTGTTCTAACTCATACGCACGTTTAGGGTCCGGGCCAGTTCACTTTTGAGTTGACCTGATTGAGCGCATAAACAGAACCAGCAGTTAATCTGCCAATGAAAGGTTATTCAGTGCTGTTTTGCAGCCTTAAATGAGAAATTTCCAAGATTAACTCCATTTGTCACCTGAGATTTACCGGTCTCTTTGCACAACCACACAGTTCTACAACACAAGTCCCATCTGTTTTTATTTTTTCCCAACGGACAATCAGGGGGGAAAAACCCTCCACTTTTCTCTTCCTTTCCCATTATTCAACCAAGTAATTTTCCCGAATACTGAATTAAAAGAAAAATATTTACAACTGAACAAACTTTTTTCCTTTTTTGCCTGCAAATCAGCAATGTAGGAGAAGCTCCAGTGCTTCAACTTCAAACAGTCAGGTGGGGGATAACCATAAAGGGAAAGGAGTGTGTTAGCATTAGAAAGCATGGCAAACCTTTGGGTTAAAAGAGCACGTATGCACATAAATACAACCGACTTGCTGGGAGAAATGGAAAGAGGGATAGGGTAAAGGAACACTTCAGAAAAGGGAGTCAAAGACAGGAGAGGAGTTGAGGAAAAAGACAGACAAGGAAAGCGAGCAGGACAAAATTCTCTTTGTAAAATTCTCAACTGGGTCTGGATCTGTTTACCACCACAGACCTACAACCTTCCACAAGTTCACCCTGAGCAATCTGCTTAATCTACATTCCCCTTCAAAGTGACTTCCAGAAAACAGGCAACCCCACCTCTCAGCAGGGTGGCAGGCCCTTAAAACTAGCCTCGTTCTTTCCCCGTCCTCGGCAGCAAAGCCCTTGATTAGTGTGATGTTTTACTGCGTGCGTTTTGTGTGTGTTACTCCTAACAAGTCTTGCGCTGTAATGCATAAAAGCGTGCGAGAGAGTTTGTGTGGCCAATTCCCTAGCAGTAAACAGGCTGGAGGGCAACGGGTCCTCCCTGATGAGGGATTAGACCAGGCTTTTTAATTACAGTTTCACAGTCACAGGAGTAAGAGCTCCACACAGCTCCTCACCACTGCTCTGGAAGCCTCCAGCTACAGCAGCTGACTGTAGCCACAAAGGCGTATATCTGAATCCCCCCGCAAAGATTTTGCAATACAACCCTATCTCTGAACGCCTTAAAATGTAGAAGCAAAAACTGAATTTTCAATCCCAGCATTATTCTGATGATGCTGTTTGGTCAAATCCAATACAACAATGAATTCAGGCTTTAGCAGAATAATGATACCGCCTGAAAAGGTTTCACAGCTCTGAGATCTTCAGCAAGGTAGCAAATGATTTTGTCCTGGTTTACATGTTAAACAAACACCAAATTTACTTTGATTTCAAGAAACCTAAAACAATTTCACTGATATTAAAATTCCCCAACCTTATAATTTAAAGCGTACAGTTTTAGGAAAATGTTTGTGAACACTTCACTGTGTTTCTTGATAAATATCACCTAAAACGTCATTAGATTTTCACAAAAGTCCTAAAATTAGATATAGATAAAAACTAGACTTGGACATTTATTTATTAAGGAAAATGGACTGCATTAGTCAAAACTCTTTAGAGAGAACGCATAATGAGTTGCTGTTTTTGTGCAGGACCCACAAATCTGATGTGTTTGTGCCATTATTTGCTTTCTCAGACGTTATTGTGAAGGTCCGACTTTGATTGATCCTTTTTCCAAACTCACTGATTCAAAGAGTCTGATTCTAATGTCGCCTCCATATTTACTGCTAAGGCCACAGACTGTCAAGCTTTTGCTTGCAGCTGTATATCAAAGTTATAAATTATAGACTTTCTTATAATTTATGATTCCACCAAGGAATACTGAGACACTACATAAAACAAAGACAGAGAAAAACTATGCAAAAGAGAGTATTGCTAGGGACAGATCAACCGAGGTGGAAGCAGCAAGCAGTGGCTTAAGTGAGAGGTCGCTTTTAGCTTGTGATGATGCAGAGTTGTGTTGCACGCTGCTGCTATAGCCTGTATGGGCACACAAATAATGGCGGCGTGATGGGAAAAGCTATACTGGTGCAAAAGTCAACTCACCTTCACGTTAGCTGATATACCCTTACAGAAAAACAAAAGAACACAGTAAAGGACGAATCAACAAAGGAGCTTTTGAGGAGCACAAAACTGATAGAACATCAGGGGAATTTGCTCATAATAATAATAATAATAACAATAACAAATAAAAGAAAGAAAATGAAGAAAATAAAGCCATGAGAAGGAGATGAAACCACTTTGGGCTGTAGGATTATGGGATTTATAGTTCTTAAGAATGGAAGTCTGGGAGTGGAGATACGGTACCAAGCAGTAATCCATAAGCATAATTTGAGCAATACTGAAATGGATCAAAGGGACTTTGGGGAGTTTTGCTACTATGAGGTTATTGGGATCAATGTGCCAAAACAATGCCGCTGCTTTGAAGAGTCCTACTCGTGTGATAGTACGCAGAAAAAGTATGGCTTACCAGTGTTATGCACAGGTCATAGCTTTATTTTAAAAAACATTTTAAAGTTTCAAATTTTAACTGGATCACTCCTTTAAGTTAATATATCTGTGGGGGACAAAAATGATTTGATCCCCTGCTGAATTTATAAGTTTGGTCACTTGCAAAGAAATGAACAGAAATTTGCTCCATTTAAATGCTAGAAATGCACAAGTTTAACAGCGTATCAAATAATTTGCCCCCTGTATAACTGACCTTTCTATTTAATCATGTCGTCACTAGTTGTTTTTTTTTAGGATCAGCATCAGCCCCTGCCTATGCACTGTGACCATGCTGTGTGTGCAGCTTTGCGTCTTACCTTGGTTTCTGTGCGCCGTGTGGTTCCATCATCAGAGGTGACCACTGAGACGTGGGAGGTGGGGGTGCCGGGGTCTTCTTCAATGGTGACCGTCTCCTCCACCACCTCCTGCGGCTCTTGCATCATGGCCAGGGATGTGGCGTTACTGGGGCTCTGCTCCTGTGCAGAGAGAAGTAAAAAAGAGAATCTGAGAAAAACTGAACTGAAATAACCGACAGATTTAAAAAAAATAAAAATAAAAAAAGCTGTTAAGATAGAGTGGAGAAAAACAGAACAGCATCCAGGTAATCATCCATTAGACATACGACAAGATGAAACTTTAATTGGGCCACAGCAGCAACAAATGACATTAGAATCCAGCAGAGAGAAGCAGAGCATAAATAAGAACATTGCAAATGAAGTGTATTAAATATAATGCCACCTGCAATTTGCAATGCAACACTCGAACATCAAGTAGATGGAAAGTGTGAAGCGCATGGCGTGAATAATAATGTGTAGAAAATAACCGCTTTAAAATACACGGATATGAATAATAAGTGTTTACGATTTCCAAACATGATGCGGTATGAAAAAAAAGGGCTGCAAAAAAATATTCATGAAAATGACTGAAATATGAAAATGTAACTGTATTGTATGGATATAATTAAAAATAACATACTGCCGTTTTCACAACGACAGTGACTCAGTGTGTCAAACGTATTCAGTCTGTCCCTGCTTGTGTATAGGTCATGGAAATGTACATACACTGTCAAAGATTTAAAAAAGCAGTTTAAAAACACAAATGCACAACTGGTTCACTCAAAAAAGGACGTAGCTGAATTTGAAATGTTCACGTTATTGTCACTGTAACAGCAGCAGATTTAGGATAGGGAACATCAGACATGCACTGATTCAGTAATTGAATTGGATAGTGGTTGGACAGTGACTCAGAAAGCTAGACTGGACATCGATGACAATAGGCCAATCGATTGGATTCGGTCTTGCTCTGTGTTTACTATACCACGTGTCAGCAGCAGCGCAGTGATTGTTAGAACAAAACCTAACATAGCACGGAGGAAGATAACAACAACTTGTCAGCAGATTGGAGGTATTCCACACGTCTTGCTTGTGGCAGGTAAGTTTGTGACTTAAACTGTGGCCAGGTGTCTTCATTCGACTGAAAAACTGTTGACAACTCTTTCCCTCTCTCCCAACTCTCTCTGTCACAGTGCTCTGCAAAAGCCTTGAGCCATTCCTTGGTTCTTTATATTTTGCTAGGAAAATGGGTGAAACTATTTCTTCAAATGTGGAAAACTTAAATTGAAATACAGTAAAAAGGAAAAAGAAAGAAAAAGCAGAGTTAATACAGTTCTAACAGGTTTAAAATCAATATTTGGAGTGACCAGCTTTGCTCTTCAACACAGATTGAACTCTTTTAGACTCGCTTTCTTATCATTTCTTTAAGTAGTCTTCAGGAATATTTCTCTAGGCTTCTTGTTTCTACCTTGAGCTCTGATCCCGGTCAAGATAATCTCACACTGCTTCATCAATGCTGAGGTCTGGGCTCTGAGGAGGCCAATGACGATTTAAAATCTGATGGTATTTTTCTACATTCATATTTCCATCACTTCTGACAGGATCCCCACAGCCACTCACAGAACTACAGCATGAAACCACAACAGAGCCTCTACCATGTTTTATTAATGGCAAAAGACACCACTGTCAAACCTCTCTCCTGATCTCCCCAATTCATAGTGACATTGATTTGAATCAGAAATTTCAAATTTGGATTTAACACTACAAAATACCTGATGCCACTAATTTTCAGTCTAGTTATTATATAATTTGATGTACCTCGGTCTTTACTTCCTGTTTCCCTTTAACTGAGTTTCAGATGAGGCTTCAGTGAACCGTAGATGGATCAGATGAAAAGGAGCTTTGCAAGGCATCATTACATCATTCATTGACAATAAAAGGGTTTAACAACAAGCAAATACATATCTACTTCAGGTTTTCTGTCAAAATACCTTATTCCACATATTAACTACAATATAGCTTTCCCATTACCTCCTGTATTTACTGAACTGATCCATTCTACACTCAGAAAAAGTGAATTCTCCATTTTATATATTTCCTGTACTTTTTCTTTCCATTCTGTCTGTACTGGGAGTTCTTTCATTAGCCATTTCCTGGTAACTGCTTTCTTACCAGCTCCCTGGGTAATTACTTCTACAATTTCACTCCAATATGGTTGAATAGCTGGGCAACCCCAGAAGATGTGAAAGTGATCAGCTACCAGTTCTCCACACTGTCTCCAACAACGTCCACGTTTACATTGGACCTTCTGCTTTCATTTTAGTTTCTGAGTAGTAAGAAAACTCGAATCATATTTTTCCAATGCAAATTCCCTCCCGTGACCTGAACTAGATCTATTCAGTTGTGTAATCTTAGATTTGTACGTATCAGTTATTAGGATGATTAGGCCAGTATTACTTTCATCCCTAGGTTCCATGTTACTGTTAAAATAGGATCTAACCCCCAATATCGGAAGTAGTCTTGCCTTTCCAATCATGTTTGCCCTTAAGTCTTTCAAAACTGTGCATTTCCCCTGCATCTGATGTCCAAACACCTCTGGCTGACCATCGTTTAAAGCGATTATCTTGCTGGGCTGGAGCAAATTCTTTATCATATGCTACCCACCGTAGCTGTTTCATCGGATTTCCTAATTTTAGTTATTCATATAACCAAACCAGATATTTAGGGGTGTTCTTGTCCCACAGTTTTCTTTCAGTTCTAAATGTGATTTTCTGTCTCCGATTATTGTTTGAAATGGTAAATCTATTTGAGTCATGTCCACCTTACTATTTTGCTTTGTAGGAAGGGTTGCACCAGTAGATTAAATATCTCAATTCTGCAGCTTTAAAATGACTTTGCAGGAAGCTGTAGTGTTGTGTATCTCACTCTGGGCTTCCATATGAATCCTGAGAGCATTCTCTCCACATATTAAATAGTTTCATTGGTGTTTCAACCAGGACTGACCGAGTTGTTTATGTCAACTCTACTACCACTTGACTTGCATAACAAATTCCATCTATGTATACCTTCCTTATAATCAGTAAATCATTTATATCATAGATCTCAGATAATGTTTTGGGAACCTTATAACCCTTCTTCACTGTACATGTCTTCAGATTCATTCTTTTAGTTGTATTAGTAGAGTCAAGAGAGGGCTGCAGCAGTCTCTGCCATACATAAGGGTACCTCTGGTCTCTTCAGTAATCATGTTAAATATTTTCTTAATTAGCATTTGGTCATTACCTAGTGGTCTGTAAACATGGTTTATGGTCAATGAGTCCAGTTACTAGGATATATAGCCCCTCTTTGTCTAATTAGTTGAAAGGTTTTTTTTATTAGAGATTAATATTGCGACACCTCTTGCATGTCCTGGTTTGTATGATGAGTAATATGCATGTCTAAAAACCAGTTGTTTAACTGTTTAATGTTCCATGTTATTTATACGCATCCCTTACCAGAATATTATGACTTCATTTTCCATTTTCATCTTGGTTGCAATTCTTTTCCTTTTGATTGGGCTTTGCAGGGCTTTAACATTTAATTTTACTATATTATATTCCTGGAATTATGTCATATTCCCCTAAGCAAACATGTATAGTATAAACTCCAAAAGTGAAGTTCTGAACAGGGAAGGGAATCCTCCAAATGAAGGGCCCCTCCTGGGAGCACAGAGATCCTCTCTGGTTCTGCGTGTGTGCTTCCCTACTCTCAAGTTGCTCCATATTATACTTAGATTAAACCACATTTATTATCAAAATGTCTTCCCATGTGTGACCTAGTGCTTTGGAGAGCGGCATTTCTGATTCTAAATTGTCCTGATAAACAGTTACTTGTGTCTCTACTCCGTAACTTTTCCATAAGTTGTTTACTCATGAATGGCCCTTAATTTTTGGCCTTTAATCCTCCTTTGTTGTTCCTCTGTTATATGCAATGGGACTGTCAACATAGACCCGAAACCTTGCTGGGGCTCGTGTCTTGCACAGTTTACGCAGTGGAGCATATTCCCTTCTTTTTTGGATAACTTTGGGTAGCCATGGTCAAAAGAAAAATCTTGCAGCAGTCTTGTATCCCCAGGTCGATGTCCGAGAGCAAAAGTTTGGTCTTAATAAAGTTCTTCAAGGACTCAGTTGGGTTTCCACGTTATTGTCCTAACATAAGTTGTTTCTTCAGGACTGCGTCCCAAAGTCAGTTAACAGCGAACACCATTGTGGCATGTGCGTTATCTTTACTTCTTTCTCCATTTCTTTCCTTTTCTGTGGTCTTTACTATCTTTGCTCTTTATTTTCCCATAGGTCTTTAAATAAACGTGATGTTCTAGACAGGAAAAAGGGGGAAACGATAGACCTTTGCTGAGAGTTCACATAATATGCTGCTGTTCATTTTGCTGCCACTTCCCCTTTAGTCCTGTACACCATGCTGAGAAATAACAGCTCTTTGGGAATCACCTTGTTGGTACAAAAATAATTATTTCTGTCTAACTGTGTTATCTTTGGCATTTTCGTAGATTCAACTATGATCAAATGATCTGTTTTTGCAACAGGCTGCTAGTAACAAAGTGCCTAAAGACACAATTTGGTGTTCTTTGCCAAGTTGTCTGTTATGCGTAAACACAATACTGAGTCATCGCTTGAGTTAGGCAGAATGATGATGCTTGAATGATTCACTGATCAGTGTTAATTGGCTTGACAAACAAACAAATCCTCTGAAAACGGTCAGGTACAAGAACAAGAACAAGACTGAAAATTTGTGAAATAAGTAGGCAAAGGAAAATGTTAAAAACCTTCAGAAAGCCTGAGGAAATATTGGTCAAGACCACTCTGATAACTTTAATAAAAGTCTGGCTCCATGGAGCAGAATATAAAAAAAAGACAGGCAGCTCAAAAACCATATGCTTATGATACCATGCACCAGCTATAGTGCACTGGTTGTAAGAACAAGAGCTAACAAAGCGTGGAGGTTTAATAACTTAGCATTGATATTAGGATAACAACACTGCAATGCAGGATAGGCAACAAGCTCCTCACCTCTTGATACTTAAAGTTAAAGCTTCTTTCAAGGCAAGAAAAATCAGAAGGACCATTTTTATTCATATTTCATTGAAAGGC